GAGGCCGGGTGGACAAGCTCATTTGATAGATTTTAGTCTTATCCGCACCAGGCCTTTGTCTATCCAGATGGAAGCCCCTAATTTTCGTCTTTTCCCAGAGACCTGTTCCCTCTGATCATTAGTTTTCCTTGTTAATCAGGCTGCAGTAGTGTTTGGACAGGACTTGTCTGGCTGTCTGAGAAGTGACACACAATGGCTAGTCCTTTCAGGCAGGGATGTAAGGCCATCTGGTAGGTGCAGGATTTCCCAGCTGTATTATAATTTTTTTGAATTAAACATTTTTGACCACATAGAGAATAAAGGGCAGAGACACTGCCTAGGTGGCCCATAGCGATCCCTTTGTTTATGCTTGCAGAAAGAAAAAAGACAGAAAAAAAAAAGGAAGCAAAAAAGAAAGATCAGTGTACATAATTAAGAAGCAGTGTTATAAATTCAAAAACACTATTTGCAAGTAAAAAAAGAACTTCACTTTGTTGCTTTTTTATCCCAGGGCCAACCTGAAGGGGTAAACATGTTAAGGGTTTATAAAAAACTTCCCAGAAGTGTACATTTAAGTGGACCAGTGATTTATTCCTTTCCAAGAACAGGAATTTTATAGAAAAAAGTACTCAAGTAACAGAAGAAAAAAAGGGAACATTTTGTAATAGAAATCTTACTCTTGTATTTTCTATTTTGAGTTTAGAAGTTAGATTGCATTAAAAAAAAAATGTACAAGTGCCTTCCCTGTGCGAGATGTTTTGCTAGGCCTGAAATGGATCTGGTTTCAGATACTGTTATTTCAACATTACAATTTGTTTTCCGTGGAACATTGAGACAATATAACAAATTACAGCTCTCTTGCTGAATTTTACTTGTTTCTCGTTTTTTCTTCATGCTAATAGTCACAAAAATCATTCAAGTGCTGCCTTATCTTACCTTTGCAAGAACTTCCAAGCATTTAGGAAACCGAGTTTTTTCCCTTAAGAAAATTAGAATTCACTGGGGAGACCGAGTAAACACGTCCTATGCATTTATTGTGTATACCCTTTGGACTCCAATTATTTAGAATTGCTGGACACTTGGACCTAGCCTGGGTTGAAGTTCAAATATATTTAATCTTTGATGGAAGAACCTCCTCGATAAAGTGAACAACACATTAGAGAAATCTTCATATTTTTTCAAGGAAAAAACTTTTTTTAAAGCTGAGTCACATTTTTAAGCAAATTCTTAGTGTTAAGTACCTAGGGTTGTACTTATAAAGGTAGATCATAAGGATCTCAACTTACGAATACTCTATAAGGGATCAGTGTGCTGCTATTCCTATTCTCCTGAAAAAAAAAAAAAGGGTGTTTTTCCTTTAAAAATATTTTAAATATATAACTCAGGTACACAGTCCTTTTTTTTAAATTTTAAAATATTTCATTTTATTTATTTGAGAGAGAGTGCACATGAGCAGGGGGAGGGGCAGAGGGAGAAGCAGACTCCCCACTGAGCAGGGAGCCCAACGTGGGGCTCGATCCCAGGACCCGGGGATCATGACCTGAGCCGAAAGCAGACGCTCAACTATGCCACCCAGGTGTCCCTCAGGTACACAGTCTTTGCAGCTCGTTTAATTTTTGAGGTCCGATTGTGAACACACACGACAGGAACATGTGAATTTATATACATCATTCTGAAGTACTGAAGGGGTTGCTGGTGGCTGCAGTCAGCGGGGCAAGGACAATGACAAGATACCGTGTTGGTCCAGAGCAGAAACACAAAACAGTCCTGCTTAATAAATGTTGTGTTCTGGAAGAGCGCTCGTCATTTAAGTCTGGCATTGTGCCAAGGGCAACATACACAGAACTTCCTCCTTTGTAAGACACCGTTTCTTGGGGGGAAATTTATATTGTTCTACATGTGTTTTAAACGTGGGCTTGGAGACCGGAGCCCCAGAGCCTTCTCAAGGGCTCGGTTAAGTAATTAATTTTGCAAATTACAAACACGCTCCATTTGGCTTTTCAAAGCTACAGCTCTGAGACCAACTGTGCCCTTCCTAATTTGGAAATATTTTCTTTCTGGTTTTTATTTTGACATGGACCCTGCCATCTACTCTCATGGCTATTTCCAGCATCCCATGGGAGCTCCTTTCATGGTTGTCATAGTGCAAATACTCAAGAAAACCAAGAACTCAGTGCTTTCATAAAGCATTTATTTTTATTTGAAAACATTATACAGGCATTACATTGCCACAGCCAGTCCATAGGGGAGCATGCAAATATCAAAAATGGAGTTTGTTCAACTTATCGGTGTAAATCTCCTTTTTGGTTCATATTTTCCACTTGCGGTGTCTGGGTTAGTGTGCTTTGTTATGTGGCTTGACAATAGAATCCTACCCATGGGGTAAAATCTGTCCTGGTAGCTAGCTGGGGACTACTAAGTGGTTATAACTCAAAAACAAACCCAAAACAAACAATACTACACGCTTGTCAAAAGGTTAATAGCACAAGTTAGCAATATCTAAACTAAACATTGAAACATTTTCATGGGACACAGTGGTGCAAATTTTCCCACTGCTTGGTCTACCTGCTTGTGTATTTCAGAGTCTGGAGCCGTGGGAAGGTGTGAAGTTGTGACCAAGGCAAGTGCTGTCCCCAGGGCACGTTTTCATGGAGGAAACTGAGAACCAGCACTGATCGCT